AAAAAAAAAAAAAAAAAGAAAGAAAGAAAGAAAGAAAGAAGAAGAAAGTACATAGAAGGGAGGGTACTTTTGGTGGCTCAGACATTTGACTCCTGCCCACCTTTGGCAGGGTACAGGAAAATTTCCATTAACCAGACCCACCAATCCAGAATCCTCAGGTAAACAGAATAGGACTCTGTGTTAAAAGAAACAGGTAAATTGCATCAAAACCAAGTACAAGTAAAATATTTATTGCAAAATCTACATTATCAGAAGGCTCTGCACTTATTATACATTTGGCCCAACTGTAAACACCTTCCTGGCTATAAGAATGGATCATTGCAATAGATAAGAAACATTTAATGAGAACATCCTAGCAGCTGGGAATCAAGCAAAGTAATTCCTTGGTACCCTTTGACCAACAACTCCCTATTTCCCCCACCCCCAACTTCTGAAAACCACCATTCCACTCTGTACCTATGAGTTTGGCTATTTTAGAGTCCACATACAAGCGAGATCATGCAGTATTTCTTTTTCTGTGTCTGGTTTACTTCACTTAGCATAATGTGCTTTAGGTTCCTACATGTTGCTGCACATGGCAGAATTTCCTCTTTTATTAAGAGCGAATAATATGCTGCGTGGGTGTGACATTTCTTTTATCCATTCTTTTTTTTTTTTTTTTGACATGCTCTCACTCTGTCACACAGGCTGGATTGCAGTGGCATGAACACAGCTCACTGTAGCCTCAAACTCCTGGGCTCAAACAATATTCTCACCTCGGTAGCCCAAGTAGGTAGGACTACAGCTGTGTACCGCCATGACTGGCACATTTTTAAAATTTTTGCAGAGATGGGGTCTTTCTATATTGCCCCAGGCTGGTCTTGAACTCCTGGGCTCAAGCAATCCTCCCAGCTCAGCCTCTTAAAGCACTGGAATTTTAGGCATGAGCTGCCATACCTAGCCCTATTCCCTTCATTTTCTGACGAATACTTAGGTTGTTTCCATAACGTGGCTATTGTGACTAGTGCTGCAATGAACATGGGAGGGCAGAATTGTCTTTGAAATGCTGATTTTGTCTTCTTTGAATAAATGCCCAGAAATAGGATTGCTGGATCATATAGTAGTTTCATTCTTAATTTTTTAAAGAAATTGCATATTGCTTTTCATACTGGCTGCAGCAGCAAAGTGCATTAAATACCTAATCTCTTTTAATCACCATAAAAAACCTACAAAATATTTATAACATTATGTAATGTCAGGTTATAATGGCTCTTTGATAATATATTTACCCTTATATAATCACAATTTTTAATCATTAAAGATCTTCCTGGTGTATTAGGCCTACTAAACTGAAATGTTGTCCACATATTACAGAGCTATTTTCATTAAAGTTTGGAATGATAGAACTTTTGGATTGCCCCTCTAATTAAAATCGACTAAACATGTCACCCTCCTCCAACTCTACTTTCTGGTTAGTGGAGGTTTTAGTGTACTAAAAAGCTGTAAGGAAAAGGGCAGTAAGGAGGGATTTGATGCCCATATTTTGCAGATGCAAAAACTCAGGCAATACCATCTTGAACGTGCTGGAAATAGGGGATGAATTAACAACAGAAAAGCTGTTTGGAGTTGCTATCATTTGGCTCTGACTTACATTTCTAAAGTGCCTGAAAGGTGGTCTGAAAGAAAGTTGTGTATCTAACTTTTGGGTTATTATGGGTACAAATAATTTGAGCAATAGAAGGAAGAGGTATATTTGCTTAGCTTAATGATATGGGGAGGTGGAGATGATTTCATTTTGGGGTGGAACAATTCCACTGGTCAGTATGGGAGTTTATAAAGCAAATATTCTGGTTTAAATACAATATATATGGCCCACTGATTCTCAAAAAACTATAGGAGGCCAGAATTCTCTGCAGCTCTTACCTGGCACTGATGCTTGGTATGTTTGCACCTTCCCTTGGAAGAGAATCCTGCGGTGCTATACGAGAGGAGAAGCCCATGATGCAACGTTTCACTAACTTTACCGATGGCACTGCAATAGCATAGAAACCTCAGTGAGTTGGCACATCTATTCACAAGGGATTTTTGGACTATTCCCCTTGGCTGAGCCATTTACAGCCCCTTGACTAGGGAAAGGCTGGGGAGTCTCAGCTACAGCCTAACTCTAAGAGCATTAATTGTGGCAAACTCTTTGGTTTCCTTCTACAGAATTAGAGAGTGCAAGAGGATTTCAATTCCATATGGTGTGTTTAAAATAAGTACCTGCTGAGTAGCTGCTGCACCGTTGTAACCCATGGCGCCTCCCATTTCACCCAAGTGTGTTTGAGGAGTCTTCCTGCTACGGCATGTCTAGAGGCACCTTAGGACTCTAAAAAGCATCACTCTACAAAAATCCTGTCTCCTTCCTGCAGATACTGCCCAGGCTTGCAATTCATTCTGCTCCTTTTGCTTTATGTTTTCTTAGAGGGTTTATTATTAATTTTGACTTTTGAGGAATCTTAATCTTACAGTAGATGCATATGGAAGCCTTTGTGTATTTCCAAATCTGGAAATAATAGCAAATAATTTTCTCTGCTGCAGTATGGGGATACTACCATGACTTTGAAGGGTGATTATAAGGATACATGCGAGAATGTTTGAAATTAATAGATTCAATGAGCACCATGAAGCAACTTTAATATGGAAATATGACAGGTGAGCCATTACGTCTTCCTGAACCTGTATGTTGATATGTAATCATGCAGTTCTTATCCTGGAACACAGATTCAACCCCATAATCATTTTTAACCCCCTAGGATAGATAGGCATTGTCACACAATAAGAATTTGCACTCGCTGTTGTGATTTTTAAAAATCACATTCTAAACAACGCTTTGCAAGTTAAATGCTTCTCTTTGGGTTTTAAAGACCCTGTGTGATCTGCTTGCCAGAACCTGATCACTTGCTGATTAGAGATGGAGAGAGTGTCTGAGCAGAAGTTCCCAAGGAGATGGACCACATCAAGAGGCAGTCATCACTGATGCTCTTCTTCTCCTGCCCACTCAAGTGGAGAAAGGAAACATGACCTTTCCTACTGTCTCAACATAAGCAGTATTTCTGAACTTAGACTAGCAGGGTGGGAAGTTCATGTAGGACAAGCCCTTAATCCCACATATCACCTCATTTTGATCAGTGGCAGACAGAAAAAGCCACAAAAATGTCATGGTATCCCTCCTTCTTTTGATGTATAATTTTTCTGAACCATTCTAATCCATAAACCTTAACCGAGTCAAGGCATACCCTGGAAGAAGAAGGACATCTTTTGGATGTGTGATTTCTCAGCTTAAGTTGGCAGTGACTGCATCACTCAGGCGTGTGAAGAGATGGGTTTGGAATAAGTTTACTCTACCTGTAATCCTCAGAAGCCTTCACTTGACTGATACTTCTTTACTTCGAGGTTACCTTTTGCCCTAGGGGGAATGGCTTGGGAAGGGAACACCCAAAGTAAACTCTGAGCAAGGCCTAGCTGTGTTACCAACTGTCAGGCTCTAAAGGCTGGCTGGTTGTGATGGAAACTGAGCTATGAGACGTCTAAGACAACATGCCCAAATTGGTGTCTCCTTTTCTCAAAGCCTAACTCTCCAACCAACATTTGTCAGCTGTTTAAAAAAATGAGGGTTGGGGGAAGGATACGTGGGATAGGTGAATCTATCCCACTTTCTGTGCATCTCAAAATTTTTACTAAAGATTTGAATCTTTCCTTGAGTTATTCTTAAAACCTCACCTGAAAACACATTAATGATTTTTATAATTTTCGAAGCTTTCATAATTATGGAAGAATGTGCATGTGTGGAGCGTGGACAGAACAGCTTGTACGGGGACTGCTGACGTTTCTGGTTGGTATTGACCACCTGAAGGTCAAGGACAAACTGGCCCAAGTGATTTCTTCTGATTCCTTCCAGCTCTAAGTTCTGTAATTCTAATGGCTTTCAAAAAGAAACTTGAAAATTGTTTATTTACCAGGTTGCAAGATAGAGCAGATAAAGAAGTTGCAACGGTTTATCCCCAGTTTCAATATTGCTTCAAGTATTTGAGGAAAAAATTTAAGAAAAAAATAAGACTAAGTCCCTTTTTCAAAGCAGTAGATAAGCAGTGAAATTTCTCTGATTTCATTTTGTTTAATCATTTTATTTATTTATATTCTATGTATCTATCGATCTATCATCTATCTATGTATATACCTACCTACCTATAGCTGACAGTGTGCAAGTAATTTTTAAAATATATTTTAGGCAAGAAAAATTAAAAGGAATTTTTCCTAACACTTTAGCTGGACTGTTAATGTCTTGTCATTACTTACCATGACTTCCCTATGGATACCTTACAGATTTCTAGATAAAACATTGAATACCAAAAAGGACATGGAATCTGAGACCTGCAAATGACTAGAAAAAACAAAAGTTCTTCTACATACATGGCCAACATTTTGGTTATCTTTCTCTTTCAAGAAGTGATTTCCTTGAAAGCAACAAGCAAATCTTTCCTTTTCTGGAATATATGATAGGACTGCTTCTTAAGAAACGCCTCATATGTGATTTCCATATAGATAGCAATAATTCTACTTATTTCTATCTCTCTCAAGAAGTTGTACCATAGTTCAAATGAGTGAAAATAATGCCTATATTATTCAAATTATCCCCAATCTTCTCCAATTTACAAAATAGCTAAATTGTTACAATTATTTATAAAATGTAGTACTTTACCACTCATTGTGACATGCCTAAAAAGTGACATTACATATTCTAGATAAAAACCAGTACTTTTAGGAGCTGAAAAAGCAACAGGGCAACAGAGAAAGCTCATGCATTAGTCTTGCAGAAATAGGGTAGCAGTCACCCATCTATTCCTTATTTATTTATGTATCCGTTCATGATCAGACTGTCATAAAATTATTATGGCTATGAAAAATGGCATGGATTAGCATGAAAGAAGCCCAGAGCCAGGGAGGGCGGATAGAAAGCTATTATAATCACTAGAATGAGGAAGAAGACCTGAGCTGGGGCAGAGATATTTCTAAACTGGAAATCATGAAAAGCCATAGTCAACTGTACCATTAGAAGAATAATTGCAACTGACACAAATATATAGGAGTGCAATATATCTGTGTAGGGTCTTTGTAGAGTTGTTACCAAGCTGCTTTTCTTTTTATTGAAATTTGGTGATGTGGTCCCTGAACTCTTGGAGAAGAAAAAGAGTCATGCAGGAACCATCTTCTGTTCTTTCTCCTACCTGACCTAAGGCCACTCGGACCTCTGACTGTTCTTCATTGCTGCTTAAATAAGCCAAGCTGGAAAGATGAGCTGGTAGATTTATCAGGGTAGCCAAATTCTACCTCATGCATTTGGAGTTCTCCTCCCTAAGAAATGTTAGCTGAGGTAATTCCTTCTTAAAAAGCTCAATTAATAGTCTGAAATGTTTATGAAAAAAGTAAACCATGGCCAAATCTACATAAAAGTATAAAGTAGAATAAATCCATATTTGGACCATCTACTCAACCCATTTCTTATCATATTTTTTCCTGTCCATAACTTCTTTTGCACCCTCTTTCCAACTTCCTTTTCAGATTTCTGCTTTCCATTAGATTTGACTCTAGTGCAGAATATTCGCATTAATGCAGATTCTGAAACAGTTTTCAAGGGGTAGGGATTGGGAAATTTGGACACAACTTTCCTAAGGGCTACTTGCAAATTGCCCATTCCCTCTGCTCTATCACATGTAAAGATTCTTATGCACCCCTCTTTGCCCTGGTTAAACACTATGATTCTTAAATTCTGGGTGTTAGAAGCTGCAATAAAGAAATAGCAGGTAGTGAATGGTAGAGTTGAAGCTGGGAAACTTTATGCCCAATAACTTACCTAATTCCATTAAGCAGAAGGTCAGAAAGACAATTATTCCTCCTACTCTGAAGGCTTAGACCTAGTGGTGTTTATGCTCTGAACACAAAAATCTCCAGAAAATGGGCTAGGCATGGTGGTTCACACCTGTAATCCCAGCACTTTGGGAGGCTGAGGCAGGCAGATCATGAGGTCAAGAGATCGAGACCATCCTAACACGGTGAAACCATCTCTACTAAAAATACAAAAAATTATCCGGGTATGGTGGCACACACCTGTAGTCCCAGCTACTCGGGAGGCTGAGGCAAGAGAATTGCTTGAACCCAGGAGGTGGAGATTGCAGTGAGTTGAGATTGTGCCACTGCACTCCAGCCTGGATG